TAGTTTGAGGTTTTATGTCTAGGTCTTTGATCCATTTAGAATTGATTTTTGTGTATAGTGATAGGTAGGGGTCTTGTTTTAATCTTCTGCATGTGGTCAGCCAGTTTTCCCAGCACAATTTACTGAACAGGTTCTCATCTCCCATAGGCTTTGTTGAAGATGTGTTGGTGGACAAATTGAGGTTTTGCTTTTGAAATCTCTATTCTGTTCCATTGGTCTAGATGCCTGCTCTTGTACCAATAACAGGCTGTTTTGATTATTGTAGCTTTATAACTCCAGTCAGGATGGCCATCATAAATAACTCAAAAAACAACAGATGCTAGAGAGGATGTGGTGAAAAGGGACACTTCTACACTGTTGGTGAGCATGTAAACTTGTAAAGCCTCTGTGGAAAACAGTGTGGTGATTCCAAAAAGTTCTAAAAATCGATCTTCCATATGACCCTGCAATTTACCCAGAAGAACTCAAATCACTATATAAAAAAGAAACCAGTGCATGTGTTTATTGCAGCATTGTTCACAATAGCAAGAACATGGAACCAACCATGCTACCCATCAAAAGAGGACTGGATAAAAAAAAGTGCCACAAGAGCTAATATCTAGAATCCACAAGAAACTAAAACAATTCGAAATGGAAAAAAAATACCATTAAAAAGTGGGCAAAGGACATGAATAGACACTTCTCAAAAGAAGACACACAAGCAGTCAACAAACATGAAAGAATGTCCAACATCACTAACCATCAGAGAAATACAAATTAAAAGCACAATGATATGTCACCTTATAGATCTTAAATATCTTCTAGGATTTTTATAGTTTCAGGTCTTACAGCCAGTCAGAGTGGCTGTTATTAAAAAGTCAAAGAAAAACAGATATGGGCTTGATTGTAGAGAAAAGAAAACACTCATTCACTGCTGGCAAAATTATAAACGAGTTCACTCTGTGGAAAACAATGTGGAGATTTCTCAACGATCTAAAAATTGGACTGGATTAAAAAATGTGGTACATATACACGATGGAATACTATGCAGCCATAAAAAAGAACAAAATCATGAATTTCGCAGCAACCTGGATGGAACTAGAGTCTATAATATTGAGCGACCTCTCACAGAAACAAAGATTCGAATATCACATGTTCTCACTCATATAATGAACCTTGAACATCCAATGCAACACTATAAGAAAATGACTGACGGTACTGGGAAACTATGGGGGGAGGGGGATGGAATTAACAGTAGCAAATATCTGTCGGGGGATGGGAAAACACCTCTTATCAACAGGGTGCCTGAATGAAACATAATTGTACACCTAACCCTTAACTGTACCCCACAAAACCATAATAAAAAATACCGATTAATAAAAAAATCAAAAAAAAAAATTGAATTACTGTTCAGCCCAGCAATCCCACTCTAGGAATGTACACAAAGGAAAATAACTCGTAAGAGAAAAAGATACCTGGATGCGTATGTTCATCGCGGCACTATTCACGGTAGCATAATTATGAAACCAACCTAAGTGCTCAGCAACAATTGACTGGATAAGTAAATTGTCACATATATACACTATGCAATACAACACAGCCATAAAAAAAGAATGAAATCATGGTCTTTGCAGCAGCATGGATGGATCTGGAGATCATCATCCTAAGAGAACTGACTCAGAAGGAGAAAATTAAACACCACATGTTCTCACTTATATGCAGGAGCTAAATGGTCACAAGGGTGGAATAATAGACACTAGGGGCACCAATAAGAGGGAAGGTTGGGCGGGGGGTCAGAGTTTACCTGTGGGGTACAATGTTCACTATCCAAGGAAGGGGCCACCTGAGACCCAATCCCCACATTATACAATATGCCCATGTAACAAATATGAACTTGTATCCCCTGAATCTACATTAAGAATTTTAAAAAAGGAATTAAGAATATCCACGGGAAAAATTTCCCCAGGAGAAGTTGATAGCACAAGGTAGGCAACTTCTGTCTGAGAAAACAGACCAAGAACCCTCTGGAATCCCTTTCATTTTTCCAGAACTCTTTCTTATTTTTAGAATAATTATTATAACCCTACTACTTTGCAAACTACACAAAATGTTTAAAGTCGTATTTCTACTGTTGTAGGGACCTTCACCACTCAAGCTGAACACCCACTGATTTCTTCTATCCAACACATAGCTTCCCTGATGAGCCAAAATGATTGCTGGTTATGTAACCATGTAAAAACTGGGGGAAATCTAAGTTAATAATAAAACCCACTCCCATAGATATTTGGGTGAGCAATTTGGGAAAGAAGATTTTCAAAAAGATTTGGCATCCTCCTCTCAACAAAGTGATTCAGCTAATGCTCATGGCCAGCCGGTTTGGCATTGGGAGGACTCACTAGAAGCCAAAGAGTAGCCTGTAAGTATTATTAATATGGTTACTGATAACCTATTTCTATACATAGAGAACCTTAATGGTAGGGCTTAACATAGGTAAGTTCTCGGGTTTCACTGTAATCAAATCCTTCAGTTTGATTCAGATGATGTAGACTGAACTCCTATATATAATGATACAGAATTAAAAATAAAAATAACAGTGATACCCTTAAGGAATTCACCAAAAATATACATTTGTTCAATGCAAACTTTACAGGTAAATGAAATATCTCTATAGTACCATTATGTAAGGTAGATCACAGTTTTGTGTACTGGATAGACCAATATACAGGGCACATCTGGAAAATGAATCAATCATATTTAACTGGGAGCAAATTACTTGCATTACTTTATTAAATTACTAAAAAAATGTTTTTTGCTCCTTTGCTGGTTTAAGCAACAGTCGTTCACACTGGCAATGTGCAGATGACAACATGGCAACAGTAAACATGATACTCACATCACTCTTTATTGGGGGTCAATTGGATCCACCTCAATTCTCTCTCTCAGTTAATGTTGCTCATTCTTTGTGGTAATAAGATATACAAGGATTTACCATCCAAATGGTCTGTAAGATGCAAGCTGGGGTACCTCTCAACCAAATAACCAAAATATATCATTCAAAATGCCAATCAAATCTGAACTTTGATTTAAATACAAAACTTTCATACATACAATGACTCTCCTTAAATGAGTTTCTTACAGACTTTCAAACCCAATTATCTAATGAGCTGGAGATACATCCTTTTGTTAAAACCCTGTTCCCTCAACTGGGAGTCTATGAATTAGAAAAAAAATCACTTATTAATATTTCTACAACTCTTCAAAAGAGTTTCATGGATACTTTAAATTCTCTTCAAGTGATGCACTCTAAGATAAGCAGCTTAGCTTCAACAATACTTCCAGGCAGAAGTGTTCTTGATATCCCAACTGCTCATAAAGGAGAAGTTTGTGCTCTTATCAGAGAAAAATACTGTTTTCATGTTAATAAATCAAGAATTGTAACTCAGAAGCTTAAAGACCAAAAGGATCAAATCCAGATACCCCATCAGATCAGGGAAACACCATCAGTTGATCTGTTTAGTCAGTTAGATCTTGACTCTTGGAGACCTTGGCTCTGGAGTATTTTTCAAACACTCGGTATTATCCCTCTACTAGTCATACTGATTATAGCCCTTATAGACTGTATTGTCTCAAAAGGCTTAGACATTAGTCAGCAGCCACTGACTCATCAGATACTTTCTATGAGAATTAAATAGCATAAGACATAAACTCAAAAAGACAGAAACTCAAATTGTCAGAAGAATCTATGGAAATCCTGATTTTCAATTTTCTGATGGCCACATAAGGACAAAAAAAAAAAAAAAATGGTGCCCAGGGTTAATGCTTGATGACCTGTCACCCTCTCAGTCCAGCTGTAAGAATGACCAAAGGGGGGAAATTGAAACAGGGAAACCAAAATGGAGGCACAGTTGGAATATAACCCTAGACCAAGCACCCACAGCCACGAAACCCAAACTTAAAACTCTTCTGATTGCCCCCAAATGCCAGCACTAGCCATAAACAACACTTAAGCTTTCCTCATATCAACATGACTTCACAGGTCCCCAATCAATGAAGCTTATGCAGCACTAACCAAAATGAATGGACATCTCCAGTAGCCAGTCACAATGGAAAACAATGCACTTCCTCATTCTTGCTTTATAAACTGAGCTACAATTACTGTGGGCTGAGCTTTTTGTTATTTCCAGTTCAAAGTCTCTGGATACGAAAGTTGTTCTTTTGTATGTGCAACAAACCTTGTAAATTTATTGAACTTGATTTCATTTCATTTATATACACATAGAATAGTATATATACACCTGCTGTACAACTGCTGTTAATGGCTGTACAGCATTCCATTATATGCAGGTAGTATATCTGTTTTATTTGACTGGTTCCGATCCCCTGCTGTTGTGCACTGGAGTGGCTTCTGGTGTGTGGCATTTTCTTTGATGCCAAGATGCTTCAGAAGGAAAAGGAGGTTGCTTCAGATACTAGTCAGGCCCTGCACCAGTGGTTTCCTATGTGTTCCTTCATTTTAAGCTTTCAGGACCTAGGAGGTAGGGATTCTTATCCCTGCTCTACAGAGGATGCAGTTGAACTTGGACATGCACAAGTCACAGAGACAGTGAGCAGAGGGGCAAAGATTCTAACAGAGGGTTCTGTTGAGTTGGGAAGCCCACATTCCTTCCATTACACTACACAGTCAGCTGCAAACTATTTGAAGGAAACAACTGCTTCTTACTCTTCTTTGTACCTCCAGAACAACATACATAGGAGATTGAACCTATGGAGGGATGCTTACCAAGTTCAAGCGGTTGGTTGGGTTGACCCCCACTCAATAATGGAATAAAGGTCACCAGTCTCCACCAATTTACTGCTGGAGAACAGTGGTTGATATGACTAGCAGGGAAGAGCATGATTCATTCAGCAAATATGTGTCGAGTGACCACTCTACTGGCCCTGAAGTGAGGACAAGCATGCAACCGTGCATCTGTTCACACTCTTGATCTCAACCCTTGTGCTTAAGAAAGAACCATACTTACTTGAGGGCGCCAGATGGACCACATAGCCATCTCCCACATAGATGGCCCAGTGTGCATAGCCAAAGCGAGAAATCTCAATCAGGTCCCCAAGTCCTGGTTTTGGTCTGCCCTGCAACAACAACAACAACAACAACAACAGGGAAAGGTGATCCTTTGCAGGGAACATTCTACAACCTGACCTGCAGCCCTGGTCCAACCTGCAGACCCCTTCTCATCACCTTCAGAAAATAGGGAGGAAAGAGTGCTCCTCACACAGGTGAGAAGCCCTTCCACTTACTGGGGTTGCAAGACAGGAGAGATGCTCTTCAGAGGACAAGAGGGTGTCCTTGGGAGACTGCTCCGTGTCAGTGGGTGTGCAGCACAGGAGTGTGGTGGAGTGGTGTGCACAAGCTGGGTGTGAGTGCATCTTATGCACGGAGCAGGTTAGTGTCAGCAAGTGACTGCATGATTCCCAAGAAAGTCTTGAATGCCTCTTTAAGGGCCGACTACCTCATGCCAGGGTCTGGGTGATCCTTGTGCATTATAGAGCTCCTAACTTACAAAGTCCGGTGTGCACATGCAGTGCTGGGCACTTGACGCACGTCAACTATCTCTCCTTTGGGTAAGTACTACCATCACTTGACGAATGAGCAGATGGGATCTCAGGAAGGCTAAGTCACCTCCCTGGTAAGCAGAGCAAGACTGGAACATGGCTCCAAACATTTCCAGGGTTAACACCCTTAACCAGCTCAGAATGTCTGACATTCTGAATGTCAGAATGTCAGCTCAGAATTGCCTTAACCTGCTCAGGCAAGCTGAAGTCTGGGCTCCAGGCCAAAGTCGGGACAAAGGAAGACAGGGTGGGGTTGGAGTTGGTGGCAGAGCAGCGCCCTTCTGGAATCTGTGTATGCAAGAGGCATGTTGCCCTGGCCACACTCAGAATGGGAGGTAGCCTTCACCACAAGTTCCAGCTCAGAATGCTTAGAGGCCAGCCAGTTCCTCTCCTCCCCCGACTCAGCTGAGCCAGGCCACAAGAGGCCAGACAACTCTAGTCACAGTGTCCGCCTGCTGCTGAGAGTGATGACGATGCCAGTGGCTGGGACATCCTCCCCGCTCTCAGTGCTCATACGGCTCCCAGGTGGGCAGCTGCACTTAAAAGTGAAGCTTTTGGGCCAGGCGCAGTGGCTCATGTCTGTAATCCCAGCACTTTGAAAAGCCAAGACAGGAGGATGGCTGGAGCCCAGGAGTTCAAATTCAGTCCAAGCAACCTAGCGAGACCTCATCTTTACCAAAAAAAAAGAAAGAAAGAAAGAAAAAAAAAAAATAACCAGGCATGGAGACAGGCACTTGTAGTCCCAGTTACTCAGGAAGCTGAGGTGGAAGAATCAATCACTCGAGTCCAGAGGTCAGGCTGCAGTGAGCTATGATTGTGCCCTGTACTCCATCCTGGGTAGCTAATAAACAAAGGAAACTTCAAGCATTTCCTAAGGAATTGTACTCAGGGAA